GAAGTAACTACCCCAGAAGGTCATCTTCTGGAAGGTGAAGAACTGTTGGCTAACTTTTCTTCTCTAGCCGTGTGTGGAAGGTTATGAAAGGGATTAGCCAGAGTTGTTTCCACATGAAAAAATATCCAGCTCTGTGGCAGATTTCAAACTTGTAGCATTCATTAAATTCTGTTTGAAAGAACAAGGTACAACTTGAGACACTGAAATTTCAGAAATTTGTAGATTTGACACAGAGGGTGAGGTTGAACCCCACAAAAAAAAAGAGACCCGGGCATGCAGATACTTAGCTTCTGGTATATGTAATTATTAGGCATTCCAAATGGAAGCAGGCAAAATAGTTTAGTTCTAAAGCGTGTGTCTCCTACCATGTGGCAAGTCTCAGAAGTGATCAATTTGATGCATGTTGATGATGGGCCGTTTTAGTGACTTAAATGTCACTCTGCACATATTTGTGCCAAATAATGCATGATTTTGTTCCTGCCTACTGTCTTTTTACTCTTTTCTGCTGTTCTGCATCTGTTTCATGGCTGATGGTGTTAAAGGCAAGATAGCATACCCCTTGCCTGGGTCTCAAGTGTGTAAATGCATGTATGAGTTTTGTAACAGTTAAATCTTTTAATAAAAGAACGTACTAGAACACATCTTTCTAAAGTATTTCTGGGATTTGCCTGAAGATTCTTCCGCATTACTGCATAACTAAATTTTCTTTATTGAAGACAACTGTTGAATCTGTATCTATGGTTCAGTAGCATATTTTCTTGTTCTCTTATAAAGCTTAGATGCACATAGAAACTGTATCTCAGTAGCAGTATTCAAACTTTCCCTTTTGGTTGTTTGCCTTTGAGAAGAACAGTGCAAATAATACTAAACACATTCTTAGTAATTCAAAAGGTAGGGGCTCAAACCTCTGCCAGATATTAAACACATGGATTGCTTCTGAGGCTGCCTACATTAGCTTTTAATCTGTGTGCAGAAAGGTGCTGGTAACTACTTGCTGATGTATAGTGGCAGCAACTGGAAGAAATATTTGACTGTAGTGATTTGGACTGATATATTAAGCTGAATCCTCGGGGATGTGGGGAGGGGGGAAAGGGCTATTGACACAGCTTACATCTGACCACTGTAGTACTTCACAATATTTCTATATGATTCGTCTTGATAATTCAGTTTCTTTTCTTGCAGTGGCTTCGCTGAAGAAGGAAATTAGTGTTTTGAAGGTTGTGATAGAAACAGAAGTCTACTATAAAGTATTTTGTTCATATACTGTAATAATAGGGTATGCAATCAATGTATTTAACTTCCATAGTAATGAAACAAAGTTAGTTTGAAAACTTGCATCCATGCTTTGTGCTGGTAAGCTGTTGATTTCATTTGCCATTAAGTATTTCACCTCACCTTTGTTACACATTTTTTAAAAACCTTTCTGTAGTGCTTTTCTCTCTACTTTTACTCACCTTACCTCCTACATGGAGTAGAGGGAAAAAAAAAATCAAGCTAGGACTTAGGCTACTGTAGCCCTGAAGTCCCATTTTGGATCCCTATATTATTGTTCTTATCTTTGATAGTTCCCTTTTTGCTCTTTCTCTGAAAATAAATTCCTTTGTCAGGAGTCACTTTGCAAATCTGTGCTGCATTCTAAGCCATGTACATTTAGTGACTGCCCCGTAGGTGCCACTGTAGTAGCTACAAGTGATGGTAAAAGATTTCTAGCCATCAGTGAGTCACCTGGAAAACAGTAACTTTCCCGTAGGCTGTCCCGTGTAAAAAAGGATGCAAAATATTTTTCAGTGTAATCAGATAAGGAAAAACTAAGGTGCGTAGGAAAAAGTAATTCAGAGTTGGCATTCAAGTGAATTGTGTTCCTGTTGCTTGCAGTTCAAAAGGAAATTAAGCTGTCTATGTATGGTATTTATTCCTGTCTCAGTTTGTATGTCTCAAGTACTCACTTTAAGGCACTTACCTCAAAGCTTACTTAAAAAACCATCCTTTCCAAAGGAAATAAACTGCACAAGAATGGAAGAAAAGACCGTTCTGGCCTTTGTGGAGTCTTTGCCACAAGTAGTGCAGAGCGTGGAAGATGCTTTCTTAACCTTCAGGATTACTGCCCTTGATAAGAATCTGTACTGCTTTGTGTACTGCTTTGTGAGCACGTGCAGTCTTCATCTCTGCACTGGGTATAGGAGGGAAAATGAGCACCTGGCTGTACTAATGGGGAAGGCTGAAGCCCATTTCCCCCCTTCCTTGGCTCACTCTTATTAGCTCATTATGCTTTTATAATGAAGTTAAAGTTGTAGATAGTGACCTATGAAAAGGTTTGAGGTTTGAATTTTGGTTATGTAAGAGGCTGAAACAGGTCATCCCAGTTCTGGAATTGGCTCCATTCAAAACCTCAGTTATGTAGATGACTTCAGTTATGATTTTGCAATGCCTTAAGCATTTTCAAGGTTCATGGCAAGGGAATAACTGAAATTTTTTTTTCCCAGAATAATACCATTTAAAATTAATTCATGGTCAGTATCATGGTAGTCCCAGATACCTGGGCTTGAATTTTTAGAAATTGGAAAAGTATCTTTATGAAGAATGCTGTAGCATTTAGGAATAGTAAAATATTATTGCTTGTGAGATGGCAGTGGTGACTCTAAAATGCAGATAATAGATGGTACTAAATCCAAGAGACAGATTTTGCTGCCAACTCTGGAGTTAATATGCACACAAAATTAGGGTTTGTATTTCCAGATCATTTGTTCGCTGAAGCAGCACATGAACCTGGAATTATTTTCCTAAATTACTATCAAGAAACTGAAGCATAAGCATAAAAGGAAGGAAAAAGATTCTGAGAAACAAAGATACTGTAATTTTAATCAAGAATGTCTGCAATAACTTAAGTACTTGATTTGCATTATTTTTGTAGTTGTAGCTTTCACTGAGTGCTTGTTTCCAAATGTATTGTTCAAAGTAGTTTTCAGAGTGACCATTCCAGAGTAGCTTCTTGGGCTGTAGAAGCCAGAGCCACTGCGGAGTTCTGAATGTGGAAGAACTTCACATCTTTTGTATGGTACAGTGTGGTACCATCACCTCAAGATCAGAGGATTTGATTTCACTGTTGCTGTAAGGTCAGTGAAGACCCTCTTGCTAGGAAGAGGGGATATCTTACTGCCCCAGATGCAGCCAGTAGCAGTGAGCCCAGGCAGGGACCAAGCACGTGTGGCTAACACATGGTGGCACCAGTCATTTTGGTGGTAGCATGGTCTTTGTCCAGCCACAGAGCCATACTCCCAAGGGTGCAGTAGTAGAAAAAATTAAATTTAGAGTTTGGGGTGTGGGGGGATGTTCGTTAAAGGCAGGGGCCTTTCTCCCTTCACACACCTCTCACTTGCAGTCTAGCAAAGCTGGCTGGTTTCAGAGGAATTGGGAGTTTTCTAACAGCCAGCTGAGAATAGCATCGGGAATATTTTTGAAGTTGCTGTGAGGAAATGGCAAAGAAATAAAACTTATTCTATTGTTGGTATATACTGCAAGCCTGCTACTGAAGCAGATGCTTACTTTGGCATTTAAACTAGTTTTGGAGAAAATCTTAAAAATTTTCTGGTATTGTTGAAGGTTTCTTCTAGTAAATAGAAGTCTGAGGCAGGAGAACAGCTTAATGCATTTATTTGTCTTTGTTTAGTCGTGACTTCTTTACATTCCTTTCTCAATTTGTGGTTATTTGAAGTCTAGTAACATTTTAGTGTATTTGAGATTTTTGCCACCAGAAACAATTTCTTATCAGATTTACCCAGTCTTCCAGAATGTGTTTATACATTTTATTACGCTTCCAAGACATCTACACTGGGTATGACTTGAACGTGTCACCACCTCTGCTGTCTTTGAAACAAAATATTTGGCATTTATTGTCTGTTCTGAATTAGGTTAAAAAAACCAGTATCATTCAGATTTTATACTTTGCTCTTCTAGAATGAGGTTTATTCCTTTTCCTTTCTCTCCTGAAGTGTATCTCAAAGTGGATGTGTGCTTTGTCAAATTCTGCTTTTTTTAAATTTACCCATCTCTGGTATTTTTTTACTCTTGTAATCAACACTTTTTCAATGTAGGAGCTTCTAACAATTGAAGTTTTATTATTTTAAGTCCCTTCTGTGTTTTGGGTATGTGTACATAGATCATATTTCTTTCTTCCCTTAGTGTTGCTCTTCTTTCCTTAAGAGACTGGTCACTTGCTGGATGTGACACACATGTTAAGAATGCAGCTGCGAAATAGGTTGAGCATTTAATAAAATGCTTAGAAGCACTACCTGGAGCCTGTAAGCCGAGGACCTGGCATTAGAATAGTTCATTGCCATGAAATGCACAGATACTAACATTTATGTCTATTGTAAATGTCAAACTCGTATAGCATGATGTAAAACTATGGATGAATTTCAAGTTGTGAACAACAATACTGTTGACAGCGTCTGATTTCAGGAGGTATTCACGTTAACTTAATCAGTATAGAAATTTTTATGTTAGAAGATGCAGCCTGTATTTTAGGCAACAAAACCTTTCTAGCAACAATAACAAAAATCTTCAATTGTACATATCAACCTGCCAGAAAACCACAGAAGTCTTTTCTATATCTTCATTGTTACGGGAAATGAATGCAAAGTCTTTGCCAAAGCACCTTTCTTTGGGTGGCTCTGGTTTGGACACTCAAAAGCTAATAGCATAAATAAAGACAAATTCCAAAGTACAACTTCAAAAGGGTACTAATCAAATGTACATGATTACTTTCTGCTGTAAGCTCCCAAAGATTACACCTGTTTCCCTGCTGCGTCTCCAGTTAAAAGGCAGCTTGTGAAAGGTGAAGTAAACTATATGAGGATGCATCAGATTTCTTCCAAATTATGTTATTTTAGTATAGTTCATCTTAATTTTGCCCAAGTATGCTTTTTTCAGTGTGTTAATTTATGTAAACATGACTGTAAAGCATAACGATTTAATTTTTTTTTTTATATATATATATACAGGTTTCTACAATCCAAGAACTTGTTACTGGTTATGAAGCCTCTTTGAAAACTTGTGACCTTTTTAGTACATGTGGTAAGTTTGTATGATCTGTTAATTATACTGTAATTGCTAATACTGCTTATGGTACTTGCTAAGAAAACTGTTGCACTGCTGATACTTTTTGCAAGAAAATAGTAGCAATAGCTGCTAGCAAATTAACGCATTAGAGGAAATATTTGCTGGATTTGCCAAGCTTTTTGTTTGGTTTGTTTTTCAAATGTAGTCATTAGCCTTATTGGTTACTTTAACTTTTTCCATTTTGTTTTAGAAAATGGAGAGAAGGAGCCCCCAACGACACTGCTTTGGGTCCGATACTTCCTGGCACAGCACTTTGACAAACTTGGCCAGTGTTCTTTGGCCTTGGATTACATTAATGCTGCAATTGCAAGCACTCCAACGTTAATAGAACTATTCTATTTAAAAGCAAAAATTTACAAGGTAAGAAGTGAATTTGGACATGCAGAGTACCTACTTTATTAAAAAAAAAAAAATCAAACATCCCTCTTTCCTTCCAAAAAACCTCTAGCACATGAAAACTGGTGTGAATGTGTGGATGGTATTTCAGTTAGCAGTGGTTCTGGGCATTGGTTTTCATGTGGGTTTCTTTTTTGGTGCTGTTCTGTTGAGAAGAAAATGAAAACCATATTGGTTAGGTTTTGTACAACAAGTCACAACTTAAATTTTCATGCTGGAAAAATCTAAGGGCAGAGGGGAGCGAGCAGTAATACTGCCTTTTGTTATTTCTGAGGGAAAAACACCCCCTAACTATAGCTTTCAGTAGCTGGCCAATAGCAGCCTTATACTAAAAGTGAACTATTTAATTTATCCTTAACAGCATGTAGGTAACCTCAAGGAAGCTGCCAAATGGATGGATGAAGCACAGTCTTTGGATACTGCAGACAGGTTTATCAATTCTAAATGTGCTAAATACATGCTGCGAGCAAATATGGTGAAAGATGCAGAGGAGATGTGCTCTAAATTCACAAGGGTAAGTATGTTACTTTAACAAAGAGAGGAGTTTGTTTGCCTTTGGCAGTTTTTTTCACTCATGTAACTTTCGACCCAAATAAAGAAAGTACCTTAAAAATGCACACTAATAATAGATAATGCTCTTACACTTAGTAGTAAATAACTATATAGAATCATAGAATGGTTTGAATTAGAAAGGAATCTTTTAAAGGTGATGTAGTCCAGCAGTATAGACCCTCTTAAGTACTGGAAAAAGTGGTGTTTAAAGGTAGTTGTCCAGAAGTAACTGACTGCACAGGAATGTGCACTGTATTCTTTATTATTTAGCATTAATGTGGATTAACTTGGACTTGAACATTTAATTCCTTTAAGCTAATAATACAGACAAATTTTGTTAAATCCTATTCTTAAAAGATGGGGTAAGCACTTCAAATTCAATATTTTTCACACGGAATAAAATTTAGATTTATAAGGACCAGGTTTCCATATTATTTATTTAACTAAATAGGCAGACAGCTACTTGGTGGCATTTCCTGGAGCACATAAATTAGACTCATTAATCCATCTTAATTTTCAGTGTGAAAACACTTGAAAGTGAATCTGAACTTTGTAGATATTTCTAGGGATGGTTGAAAACTCATGGTGTGTGCTAGTTGGAAGTGTTAAGGGTAAGACATATGCAACTGTAGCATAAATACCTGTGGTAAGACAGGATAATTCTGACCCTGATTAATTAAATATTGTGAGTTGAACTAGGTTTTCTTTCTACTACAAAGACTGCTCTGAAAATTTGCTGGCTAGCATTTGTGATACGTGTAACATTCTTCCAGTTTGTTTATTCTTAATCTAGAGCATTGAAACTACAAAAATAAATACTGGCGGTTTTTTCTTGTAAAAGTGTGAAGTATAAACCTAACAATTTATTTAAACTAAGAAGTTTTAAGAAGTTTGTAATTATCCATACTACATGGTAAAACGGTAAATATACTGGTGGATTTTTAGACTAGTAGATGCCAATGACCTGACGGGGAAAAACCCAATGGAAATTATTTGTTGAACTTAAGGGTTTTTAAAAATAGTGTTCTTTTCTGCCCCCTAATTGTAAAAGTAAGACTGTATACAAGCATGAGTTAATCTTAAAAATCTGTTGAGATGCTGATTTTGTACAGATATTTTATTTTAAAATTATTGAAATTATTCCTTTTCCATATCAGGGGGCATAGGGCATCACAAGTATTATTCTTAGTCACTGGCTGGTTTATATCCACGTTCTATTGTATTCCAAGTAGGTGAAAGACTGTTTCCTGAAACTAGCTGGAGTTGAAACAAGCAGCTGGTAAATTATAATAGCAAAAAGTGATAATGACACTTATTTCAGGAAGGAACATCTGCTATGGAAAACCTAAATGAGATGCAGTGTATGTGGTTCCAAACTGAATGTGCTGCAGCTTATCAAAGGCTGGGGAAGTACGGTGATGCCTTGAAAAAATGTCACGAAGTAGAAAGGGTGAGTGGGTGCAAACACCACCAGTTTCTCTCTCCGTATTTTTCATGCACTAGTGAAGATACTTGCTGATGTAATCAGCATGATTTTCTTTGCATGTAAAGTTTCTAGAATAATGATTTTTTTTTAAAAAAACAGCCTAATACTTGTGTGTTCTTTTTTTCTTGAAGCATTTTTTTGAGATAACAGATGATCAGTTTGACTTTCATACATACTGCATGAGAAAGATGACTCTCCGTGCCTATGTAGACCTTTTGAGGTTAGAAGATGTGCTCAGGAAACATGCCTTCTACTTCAAGGCTGCTCGATCAGCAATTGAAATCTACTTGAAACTCCATGATAATCCTCTTACCAATGAAAGTAAAGAACAAGAAGTGAATTCAGGTATCTAGAACTTAATGGAGGCTCATATGTGCATGATATGTAAAAACTAACTAAGCTAAATTAGTTATGTACTATAGAATAAATGTTTTAACTTTCACAACTTTTTCCTCTTTTCTGTCATGATTTGCCAGCTGAAAAGAGATAATAGGTAACATTCCACAGCTTTCTTCCTCTCTGTTCTCCTCACCTTATACTGTACAACTGGTATATGAGTGAACCTAGCTAGAGTTGGAGTACTTGGGGGAGGAGTGGCATTTCAGAATATTAAGAAGAAAAACTCAGTTTAGCTGTTTTTTCCATTCAAACAAGAGATAAATGTCATTAATAAGTGAATTGTTATCCAAACAGTGGATAGATTTTGGGGGGAAGGAGTCTGAATTGTAAGAATTGAATTTTGATCTATTGTATCTAATTTATTACATAATAATGTTAACGTTGCATTTCATTCAGTCATTTTTCACAGAAATTCAGGACCAAAGAATGTATGGCTTAAGTATGTATTAGCTACACTAAATACATGTAGGAAATTTTTTTTTTTTCTTAAATAGTGTGAAATAGAAAGTGGACTTTCCTAGGAAGCCGGTGGGGTGTGGTTTAAAAATCTGAGGGTTCAATGGCAAAAAGAGTTATGAATTTATTTATTTATTTTTTAAAGAGAAATAGTTGCTTCTGTTCTGGAATTACAGCTACTGTCAGCACTGCAATGGCCTCTGAATAGAGGGCTGAAATTAGTGTCTAGCTCTTTGCAAAGTGAAAAATATTTGACGTGAGGGAAAAATTTAATTTGTTTCTGTGTATAATTCAAGATCAGTGTGTAACAGGATCTTGACAGCAATGTGTTACAGACACTTAAGGTGAGGAAGAGCCTAAGAAGTCATATTGGTTCATTTGCTGGCTGTGCACTGGTACTCAAGTGACTCATCCACAGGGGAAGGCAGCACCATATGAATGTGGGGTAAAAAGAACTCCTGGTTCTCCTCACTTCTCTGTCTCTGGATGGTGGCTGGCCCCAGCAGTGAGGTCATGGTGCCATAGCCACAAAAAAGATGTGTTAGTCCCTCAGTAGCCCATTCTTCTGTTCCTTGCCACATTATAAGCACAAATACCAATCTTGGTGAAACACTGCAGTAAATGGAGTAGAAACCACAGTAGTATTCTGGCTAAACTGGTCAGGTCAGGGGGACAGCAGAGAAGAAAAAAAGGTGAATGGAGAGGCTTGAAGGCTCCTCTCATCTAGGCGTGCCTGTAGGAAATCATGTTTTGTGTGCTCTGCTTTTCATGCAGCTGTTAAACCTTCTTGGTTTATCTAAATGCTGTTCCAGTCCAAAAATCTGAACAGCGGTCAGCCTGAAAATCCATATAATGGTCCTGATAATACACACATGAATATTTTACCTCTTTGCCCCAAACAATGCCAGGTTTTGCTCGCATCCCTTCAGCTGTCCCATAGCATTTGCAGAAAATCAGTTCAATCAATATTACTGTGTATCGTTCAGACACTTGAATGAAAGATAACAAGCTTGTTTTAACGTGGACTATAAACCTGTCTGGATGTTTCTAGTTAGCATGATAAGGAAGCTGAGCTACACTCGATATTGGAGCTTAGCATTACCCTTGAAAACAGTCGTCTGCTTTCTAAGGCAAAACCCTGTCATAGATGGAACAACTTCATGTAGTTAACCTTTATAACAGTTGAGGTTTCTGTAACAACTACGTAAGAGAGAAGAGGCAAGATCAGGTGTTTTGTCATGCTATAAATAGTGATCCAGTAGTAATGCTGGACTAGACAGTGATTATAGTCTGGCAAATGTTGATAGTTATGGGAATCACTGTAAAATTCTGCAATTTCGATGTGTGGGACGAGTGTAGTAGCATGTCTGAGTGCTGTTTGAAAGAAGCAAGATTTGTTACTTAAATACTCTGTTAATATAAGTTCACTGTTGGTACCTTAATCTGTAGAAAATCTCTCGGCCAAAGAATTGAAGAAAATGCTTAGCAAGCAAAGAAGAGCACAGAAGAAAGCAAAGCTTGAAGAGGAAAGAAAACACGCAGAACGAGAGCGACAACAAAAGAATCAAAAGAAAAAGAGAGATGAAGAAGAGGAGGAAACTAGTGGGCCCAGGGAAGAGCTAGTTCCTGAAAAACTGGAAAGGGTTAGCATGGTCTTTCATGTTAAGTTCTTATGATTATCATAAAAAGCCTGCAATGTGGGATTACTATCAGGTTCTTCTAAAAGAATCCAGTTGTTCTTTTTAAAAAAAAATCACTTTCATGCAAAGATAGCTTTTTGCATTCTGTCTCTGTTTATGTTAAAGAAGAGTAATATTTCTTCCCTAATAAACCAAAATCCTATACTAATAATATTGTTACTTTCTTTAAACTTTGGGGTTTTTTTTTTAAACAGTAGTCCATCCTTCATTAAAATGGGTACTGAACAAATAGATGGTTCTTGCCTGAAGAGCTCTGGTTTTTCATACAGTGAATAGAGAAAAACTAACAGAAATGTGATTGCAGTTCACAGAATTTGGAGACATGAGCCAGTATTTCGCTAAGCACAAAGAGCTGTCTCCTGTGTCACAGGCAACACACTTGAACTTCTGAAGTTACTGAGGTCGTATTTAATTGTTTCCTAAATGCTAAATTACAACACTGAGTACATTACATAAGCAGTTGTCAGAGTTAGTGTTATCTTTGTCAACATGAAATCATGAGTAAGTGCCTCTAAATCCTGTTGTTCAAATAAAAATGTTGTGTTTTGGTTTAGTTCAGAAAGCCATCTGCAGTTTGCTGTTGGCCTCTGACTTTAAATATTCTAAATAACAGAAGCTGTCCTTGCTAGTTTTCATTTGTCATTTATTTTAAGCTTTAAATTTCACTGTATTTTTATTAAAACAGGTAGAAAATCCATTAGAAGAAGCCATTAAGTTCCTTATACCACTTAAGAATCTTATTGGAGATGACATAGAAACACATTTATTAGCATTTGAAATATACTTTAGAAAAGGTAAAGTACTACATAATTTTATTTTTGCTCTATAAAATTTTAACCCTTGACTGCAGCCAATGTTGCCTGCGTTTAGCCTAAAATGGTCTGGAACAGACAGATAGTTGACTGGAGCTGGGGTTTGCATCATACCCAGAAATAATAGGGGAAATAGGAGGTTTTGCTTGTTTTTAGGGTGGCTAAAAACAAGTGCTAAGAGCAAAGTTGTACTGTATATACTAACAAATGCTGTAGGAAGGTGCTTGCAGGGTGATTTTAATTATCTATGGGAAAGCAAAGCCATGCAGATAGCAACATCATCTATGCAGTGTTGCTACAGTTTGAGCAGCAGGCATTTCTATTTTATTAAGCATTTTGGATGGGATAAATAAATCTCCTTTCTGATTCTATGTAGGCATTGATGTTTCTAATATTTATACTAGATTTACCAAAGAAAACGGTAGCTGATACAAAGAGAAAAAGTTCTGAAGTTCTGTGTTCTTAATCTTTGTATGTTTTTGTTTTTTCTCCTTCCTGCAGGAAAGTTTCTGTTAATGTTACAGTCTGTCAAAAGAGCTTTTGCTATCAACAGTAATAACCCACGGCTACATGAGTGCTTGATTAAATTCTCTAAAGCTGGTATGTGTGTAGGAAGTCTGTCTGTGTGTACAAAGATACAGGAAGTTATATTGTTCCAAAGACATAACTACATGTTTCTGTAATGTATAATTACTCTTGAAACACAGACTGATATGGCGGGGGGGGGGAATGGTTTATTTTCTTTGGTAATACCCAAGAAAACACAGGTTGTTCTGTGCACATGTGTGTGTGTATTACATGGGACTCCTTCCTCCATTAATCCACCAGGCAGACCCAGTAACATATTTGGGCTCAATTTCAGATGAGTACTGTTCCAAAGATCCTTGGCACCAAGTTTTAAGACAATAAGTGGCAGATAGGAGAGAGAGATTCTGACTGAAACAAAGTATGTGTTGTTCAAAGTTGTGGACTTGCAGCAGAAAGTTTACATGACAGGGTGCCCTTCATGAGTGTTTCATCTATAAATGCCTCTGGTTATGCTTGTGTTAATCTGTTTTGAACTGAAATTCATGTTTCTTTTTCTCGGAAGTTTAGCAGTGGTGTTCATAGTTTCACTCTGTTTTCTACGGTTGTGTAAATGGGGTTTTATTCTCACCCTCTTCCCTTCCTCTTTCTAGTGTCTGACCATAGCAACCTCCCAGAAATTGTGAGCAAGGTCCTAACTCAAGAAATGCAGAAAATCTTTGTTAATAAAAACTTGGAAAGTTTTAATGAAGAGTTTCTCAAACACAATGCTACCTCCATTCAGCACCAACTGTCAGGTTTGTTTAACTCCTTTTCAAGAGCATTAATAAGTTAAGTGATTTAAATCCAAAATCTTTATCTGCAGTCCATAATTTTTATGTAAATTCCAGTGAGCCAGAAACTCATGTTTACATCATCAAACCAGGAAGAAAATTTAAAAAAATAAATTGAAACAACCAAACTCATTCACATTTTTTGTTAGATGCATAAGGAACCTGCTTCTTGTCTCCAAAAAGTGTGATCAAACTGCCACAGATACACAAGTATGGAAGCACTGGCATCCTTCCTATTGCAGTTTCTAGTTTTGAAATTATAAAACAAAAATTCCTGTCTTATTAGAAGGAGTACATTTCCCTGTTTTCTTACCAGCTGGAATGTCTGTTCCTACTCACAGCTTTGTCACATAACAACAGCATCAATAAAAATATCACAATGAACTTGTGCTACTTTTGCTTTTCTGCTTTGTGTGAATCTTCTGCTTATGCTGAAACAGGTTTGAAGTGATTGACTTATCAGCTGTGCAGTTTATAACTTCTTAAACTGTCATCTTTAACTCACGTTTGAAAATGTAAAGGTCTGAAAGACTTAAACTTGAAGTCCAAGAGTAGAAATGAGTGTTTTCTTGGCTTAAAATGATTACAAGTAAAAAAAAAAAAATTACAAGCAGGATTTTAATCCCTTTTCAAAAAAAAAAAAAATAGTCTAGTAATTTTTTGAAACCTTCCTGGATACAAAAAGCAGTAAGAACTAGGAAGCTTTCTTTAATTAGGAAAACAAATTTAATAATTGGGGAAATGAGTTGAGCAAGAGGAGACAATACACTCAGAATGATGCTTTTTAACTTTTCCAGTAAAATGATTTCTTAAGCATTTTGTTCTCTGTAGGCGATAATGTAGTGAGGTGTCCGGACTTTGGATCTGGGACAAGGAAAGTACAAAAAGTGCCTACGTGCCCCTTAAGATGAGATTTTTGAGTTAAGGAGCCACACAGTATTTTGCAGAGATGCCCAGACCAGTTCTGATAAACTGTTTGTGGTCCAGGAAGCTTCAGAGCTACATTACACAGTTACATTTCCAGAAGCAGATCGCCTGTGTTACGCTTGTGCTTCTAATAAATTCCAAGGGAGCTTTATTTTTGTTAATTAATTTATAAATAAGGGAGGAAAATATGGTTTATTAAAACTAACCAGAAGTCCTTATTCCCATTGATTTATAAGCTTTTGGATTCTGTGTGTTGGCAGATGTGGTATTGCATTTAGGAACACCGTTATCTAAGTGTTGTGTTCTTTCTTGTGGTAAGGTGCAAAGATGATGTATTTCCTGGACAAATCAAGACAAGAAAAAGCAATTGCTGTTGCTACTAGATTGGATAAAAACATGAGAGACAAAAATGTGAAGGTAAAAGATACAGTGTTTAAAGGCAAAAAATACACATTTTTGTGGGATCTTAAATGTTTACTTAACTGCAGAGTAATGTACATGCTTCATATATTGTTATTAATATTATTTGAAAGAACAAGGTTTCAAATATTTTTCCCCCAAGTAACTGTAAGATATCTGAATACCAAGAGAGAACCTGTGTGTGCTCAGATTAGCGTTGTTTAACAGTACATCTTTTTAGTAATAAACAGACTGTGAATCCCATTTATTAACTGTCACTTTCATTTCTTTAGACCTTAACAAAGGTTTTTGAGGCACTGCTTGATGGCAGTTTTGGAAGCTGCCACACTCAATGTGAAGAATATCAAGCAGCATGTCATAAACTGTTTCCTTTCACGTCTGCCTTTATGCCTGCCATGAATGAGGCCGAGAGCAGCATCACGCCTGTGAACCACACAGCCATTAACCACGACTTGCTGTCTAACGAGATCTGAAGTTGTCTGCAAGCCCCTCTGTGTGTGTGCCTCCATGCACACACCTAGACAAACTCTCATGACGTGCTGGCTGGATACAGATCAGGGTTACTTTTCCAGGTTGTATTTTAATATCTTTAACAGGTATAAAACAAAATATTTGGATAGCTATATGAAATGGAATCTACTATTAGTTATTTTTTTTTTTCCTCCCAACAAAAACTGCCAATATTTATGTAAACATTATCCTTAATCAGCATTTCTCATGTTTATACTTGTACAGTTTTAAGTCTTTTAATAATCCATCAGCCCTCCCTCACAAAAAAAAAAATGGATGTTAAAGACTGCTTTCACATAAGTGTCATTACATATGCAGAGAAATGTGATCATATCTTGTTAAGAAATTATCATTTGAGCGTTTTTAGCAGATTAAGGCTGAAGTGCTGCTTGAATTGCCCTTTTTGTCTTTTACTGTTATTTAGTGTTTTGGTTTTTTTTTTTTTTTTTTGGGTTTGGTTGGGGTTTTTTGTGGGTTTTGGTTTTTTTATTTTATTTTTATCGTTGGTTAGTTTGGTTTCTTTTGAAGCACAGTGACAATGGAAGCATTGGGAGTTTGCATGTTTTTGTCGGATGTGTGTCTTACATGGAATCAGTGTTGATGGATATGACAATTAGGTTTGTGTATTTAAAAAAAAAAAAAAAAACAACCCTAAGGCTTTTTGAAAACTTTATCTACGTTGTGTTCCATAGCTATTGTTTCCTTAAGTTTATGGTCAGTTTAACAGTTTTGTTTGAGTATCCTAAAGCAATTCCCGAGGGAAACATAATGAATTTGGTTGTGTTGTTTGTCCATTGTTCCATCTTCCCCTTCCTCATCTTCCTCCTGGCTTCTGATCACCTATTAACACTTATTTTGAAAATGCTGCTCCAGTTTTGGGCAAATGCAGAAGGTACAGTAATGGGGAATACAGCTCTTCTCTACATCACAAAAATTCACTGGTAAGTTGCCTCCATTACAAGTCTTAGTTGCCTGCTCATGGCCAACACTCCAGTACTTCCCAGGCCTAAATGCTGTTGCTTTAGGTGCAGCAAAGCAAATAGTATGTGAGGGGTATGTTTTACATTTAAAACTACTTAAGGGAGCACAAAGAGGCTGACTACAAAACACAATGAACCTTTTTCTTCCTTTGTATTCTGGTGCATTAACTATGAAATACACAGCCCATCAAAATGGAAGTCTGAATCTAATATACCTATTTAAAGCATAGTATTGCTGGTCAAAATGGCTACATATGACAGCTTTACCTTCTATAAGAACTGCTATCAAAACATAACTATACTGTGGCTTGTACAGAAAAATCCATTTTCTGGAAACTGTAATGGAATCATTCAATCTTGGTTTGTTTTTATTTCACTGCAATGTAAATAATTTCAGTAATATTAACTAGCCCCTCAAAGGCAAATAAGTTCACGAAGAGGGGATTTTATTAAGACAAATAAACTGTTCTAATTAAAATTCTCCTTTGTGTCTCATCTGTTTAGATTCAAAATTGTTGAATGGAAAATTCACTGTAAAATATTGCCAACGTATGTTATGCTGTAATAAATTATTTTGTACACATTTGGCTTTGGTTTGGAGTTTTTGTATATTGGACATCAAACTTCAGCTCATCACATTCATGCAACACTCACTGGTTTAATGTGAACTCTCTAAGTAGTTAAGAAAAAAGAAAAAAATATCACTGTTTAGCCCATTGAGATGAAGCTCTCTAGTAACTTACTATCCTGAGAAATACGGCAAGATGTTTTTTTTTTTCTTACATGTTCACCATGTACCATTTGCTGTGGATACAACTTGCTCAAAGATGCCTCTCAGGAAAGATGGAGAGGCAGTTGACCATAATGGGATTGTTTTGCCTCAGCAGTACCCTTGAAGCACTTTTTCAGCCCCGTGTAAGGTGAAGGCATGAAATGGTATCTTGGTCTTCTGTAGTTTATAGCCATAACACATTACTAAAGATTTAGTCCAGGCCTTGAAAAGATTGGTGGTACTTGAAGTCAGCTGATCCAGCCCTCTGGTACCTCCCTAGCTTGACACTTCAAATCAGACTTGAGCAAAAATACTGTGGTATCTTTTCAGCAGTTTATTCCTTGAGAAAGCAGATGAATTGTTTTAATATCTAGACTAAGAATTGTAGGAACTCTTTGGGGAATTCTGAAAATATAAAAACTGAGTCTTCTGACACGTAGTGTGTAATTTGATTTTCTCTTAGAACTGCTGGAAGCATGAGCTGCTGAGCTTTCTTCAGGGCTGTCATCACAGGTGTGAACTGCGTGGGACTATAGGTGCTGGGCAATCCTGTAGACCATTGCAAAGATGTAGTAGGGGAAGGATAAGAAAAAAAGAGGAAGAGAACAGATGGGAAGGAAATGTGTTTTTTCCTTTGTTCTGAAAAGGTCACAACTGTTCCACTGACCCACATGGAGGTGGAGAGAGCGAACCATTTGTGCTACTGATTTTTCTTCCATGGGCCTGGCCTGGCCTGGCCTGGCCTCGCCTCAATGAATGCATGAAGAGCAAGGCAGCAATTTTAGGAGGTCCTAAGTAAGTTACTTGAAGATGCATCTGTGGCCAGGCACAGGTAGACCCTTCTAATGTCTGGCATGTTTCAACTGGGAACAGCCTTTGTGGTGAGGACTGGTAAAGTTCTGTGTGGAGTGGTGGTTCTATTAAAAAAAAAACAACATTGACTAGTGTAGGAAGTGAAGCCATGGTCCTCCCTAAGTAGAGCTCTAGCTAAGTCTTAGAAACTCATGCCTGACTCAAACCTGAGAAGTCTGGAAGAATTGCTAAAGACCAAAATAAATTCCAGATCTTGTAATGTGCTTGAGTATTTTTATGCTTGTTTGTTGATTTTTAGTTTTCTTGGGGTTGGTGTTTGTTTGGTTGGTTGGCTTTTTTGAGAAAAAGCAAGAAAAAATCCTTTTCCTAATCAAGGAAATCACACTGTTTTTGTCTGGCAGATCAAAATTTCTGTGTAGGTCAGGTTTAATACATTAACAAAAAATGTGGAGTTTTTTAAAGTACTATTTTGCTACAAGTTTTTATTGGTTTATTTTTCAGTATTCAAATGCTTCCCAATCTTGTGATGAATTCTTACAACCTCCTTCAAATTCTGTCTTTGTTGCATGGTGTGATGTGTGTCATAACAACTCGCGGGTCCCTTAAGGTGGCATCTGCTGCCGAGGCAGAAGGAGAACACAGACGCAGGCACAGTCCAGCAGAAGGCTGCCTGCAGAATGCAACGCCCACCGCCCTCGGCAGGCCTGGCACCCTTGGATAGTTCAGGGGCTTCAGTGGAGAGCTGCCCGAGCTTGCTGAACGGGAGGGAACGCTTCGCTCTGTTCTCTGACTGCTCCCGGGGGTTGACAAATTCATCAGACAATCCCCAGAAGTAGCACTGGAGAAGCAGGGGCTGGGGGGCAAAAATGCTGCACCTCCTTTGGTGGCAGGAGCCTGCCTGTGTGGCTGGGCATCAGTCCAGGTCTGCAGGGGCTGTGCCCAGCCTTGAGGCCTGCAGACGGGCTTCAGAAGGAGCTGGAAAGAACAGTAGTAGCAGCAGTGCATCTTGACTGCATAACTAATTTCACTTGAGTAGGTACACATCAGAGAAGCATGGGCACAGTTCTGACTCGAGCTTGGGTTATGTGCATTTGCTGCTGTCCACAACATGCTCTGCAACCTTTGTGCTCATATAGCACCTATATGATTAAGTACTTGGCTGTGGTGGGGATGCGTATATATATATAGAGAGAGAGGTTGGTTAGGCTTCGTTTGCTCATTACCAGTCAGCAAAGCCTTTAAAATGCCTTACATAGTCTGGATGTAAAACTATTGATGTATTAGTTTTGGTGGCTTGAAATGACAATAAACAAGCTTACGTGACTTGCTTTGTGGACCTTTGAAAATCTTTTGGTTTGAGCTGTTTTATTGTAGGATTCTTTTATAAATCCCTGTTGCTTATCCCCACATAAATCAAATAATTGTGTTAACAACAGGAATGTCACAAGACTTGATTGGCCTGGCAGCCAGTCTCAGTCCTGCAGTCCTGGTGGCATCTCACACAAGTACCCCCTCGTTCCTTCTCTCGTTCCTTCTCGTTCCCGCAGACAGGCAGACGTACCCCAAGGCTGACAAACTTTTCATTGTAGGGAATAAGCCTGTTCCAAAAGCTCAGGCCCTGACAGAGTACCCCGTACCTGATACTTGTATGGATAACAACAGTTTAATCCAGAATTATCAGTGTGGAAGGGGTAGTTTCTCACACCTCTTCAGCCATAGCACCTCCAGATTTCCCAAATAATGAAGAAATACCTCTTCAGGTAGGAAGAGCTATAAGTTAAGCTTTAAGTGCGACAAGAGATTCCAATGTAATCACGTTTTTGTAAGTGAATGCACTTCCCATTTATTGTTTCAAGAGCATCGTATGTACTTCTGGCATTAGTTTTTCACGTCTGGAACTGCAGGTGTTAATGAAAAGTGGTCGGTTAGTGGATCTTCCACTAGAGGGAAGCCTCGCATCCAGAATACTTCCACAGTAATAAAGGCTGCAGTCTTGTTTATTTTCAGGTGTTTCCTGGTTTTGTAGTAAGAGCACAGGAAAATAGGAGCATAGGAAATGCTTCTCTTTTCTTTCAGGAAGCGGAGAGAGATCATCAGTGTTTGTATGTGCTTAAATGGCTGAATTAGACTCACGTTTGTATAACCCAGCTGTCCACAGGCATTGACATGGGGGTCTGAAGTTGAGAGTGCAGTTGTTTGGGCTTATTTTATACCAGCTGAGAACAGAGATATTGGGGAAGGATATCTGAGATGGCAGATGATCAAACTGGCCTTTAGGGAGATCCTGCATCATATGTGGGAAGCATTGATCAGCCCTGTTCCTGCCCTACTCTCTTCAGGCTGCTGAAGAGAGGCAGAATGTATTTGCCTTAAAGATTGGACATCACTCCAATTAAGTTATCATAGACTAAATACTCTCTTCACCACTCAGACTTTGCTGCTTAAACATAATTCAAGTCTAGACAAAGTGTTTGAGAATGTGCTGTTAATGTTTAAGAGAAGTTTCAGGGTTCGAGAGGGTCCTAGAGGTATTTTAGGTATGCAGTAAGGCAGGAGAAGGAAATACATGGTATTTCCAGAACTGATTTCATGTGATAACTGATCAAACTTGAAGCAAACTGAGAAGCAAGGACTGAAGCAGTATCTGTCTTCCTGTTCCTCATGCAGAGTGCCTAGCCTAGAGCAGTCCTAGTTCAGGACAAGGGTCTATACCATGAGTAACAAGCTGTCATAAAACCTATTTATAAATTTAAGCAAACTATACCTGCTTGAGGCCTGGCTCTGTAACTGGTAGTGCAAAAGATATCCATGGATCCATAAAAGGCATCAGGCACCAAAGCAGTCTGGTGGTTAGCT